AACCATGCATGAAAACCAAATAAAACCATTTTCACCCAAAACCTAACTATGAACACCAAGAACAAAACCATGAACACATTTTTAAGATTTGTATATTCTTGGTGATTTTTCAAACCCAAAAACAAAAGTGACAAGAACCCCTTTTTTAAGCTTTAAAAGGATGTGTGAGTGGTTTACAATAAAACACAAACACAACCCAAAACCACCCCCAAAACCGTGCCAACCATAAAGAACAAAAAACCCCAAATTTTGTTCATGACTTATTCTTCATTCATGCATACAAAACAACTTTTACATGCACATCTTTTCAACTCTTGATTTACATTTTTCAACCATTGAAAAACAAAAGACAAACATACTTTTAAATGAAGAAATAATATGTCAAACTAGTTCTAAACTCATTTTTCATTCATGCATACAAAACACTTTTGCATACATATCTTTCTCAACTTTTGACTAACATTTTTCAACTATTGAAAAACAAAAGATAAACATACTTTGAATGAAACAATAATATGTCATACATAACATTAATACCCATATGCATAAAATCCAAAAGGACACATTATACATAAACCTTTGGCTCTGATACCACTTGAAGGGAAATCTATGAGATTCATGTATGGGATTTCATAATGACTATCATGCATATACAAATCAAATTTAATATACGAAAGTAGCGGAAGCATTTATAACAAATTATCAAAGCTATAGTCATGCAAATCCCCTTCAAGGTTCATAGGTTTATATATAATGCATCAAATAAAAATTTAGAGAAAAGAACAAAGTGAAGGTTTAGTCTTATACCTCTTGATCTAGACTTGAGACCAAGGATGGACCACCTCCAAGCCCTTTGTTCCTTGAACTCCTTGAGCCTAGCTTCCCTCCTTGCCTCCTCCACTTTGATAGAATGAGTGCTCCTAGGTTCTCTTCAAGTTTCCAAAGTAGGAAACTTCTAAAGATCCTCACCCACTAGTGTAGTGAGAAGGATGAAGGAATAACCAAAAGGGTGAAAGATATGTTAGTAAAATCACCCCCAAGGTGGCCGGCCTTTGTGTAGTTCTTAGAGAGATATTCTTTTGCCTCTTTGTTGTTTTAACCACACAAAAACCCTAAGGAAAATATCACTATAAAGTTCCTTATATAGACAAAAGAAACCTAGCCAACAACTTGACTAAATATCTCACCCTTTCCACACCTAAAATGGCCGGCCCTTTAGTGTTTGGTTTGGGCTTTGGGCTTTTATTATTTCAAGTCATCCAATGCTTGAATAAAAGCCCAATGGGTTTAGGCCCAATGGGCCCAATTAAACCCGAACGTTTCTTTAAGCCCAAAACGATCTTTATCGCTTTTATGATTTCTTTAGACTTTCTAAATTAATCACAACACTTAATTAATCCAATTAATTGTTTCCATCATCCATTAATTACTCACTACAATAGTGTATTGGTGAACAATCTTTTAGGTTCTAATTAGCAAGGCAGTGAGGTGATTGGCATCAATCCAATTGATTATATTTAATTCAATCACTTAGTGAATTAAAACTTCATTTTAATTCACCTTTCTTCTTTGATGACTACATTTAATCATCTAGAAGAACTCACAAGCTATGAGTGACATCTAACCATATGTCATAGCTACCCAAGCTAATGTAGAAGTTTATTCGGAGAACCTATTCAGTGGGAATTACAATGTAATTCAATCCTTCTTTAAAACAATACTCTCAATCACACCATTAGGGTATGGATATATTATGTCAAACCCCTAATGTGATTATTCCTTCTTATATGATTCAATTGAGTCGTATAGGAACGCTTTCCTTTATTACGCTCGATACTTCGGCCGAAGATTCCCGAATCATATCTTAGAGTATTCTTCCTCTCTTATCGAGGATTAGAGATTCCTTGTTGCGCATACACTTGCCTTCATGACTAAGTGGCTTAACCCCAACGATGCCGTTGACATTCTGATAGAGTGACTTTTGACATAATCAAAGATCAAGTACTTAACCACAAGACAACGACGATGCCTCAGGTCAAAGGACTACTTACATTATTCCAACCATTAGAGTTACTTGCTTGACATGTGAGTAGACCTCCATGCAAGTACTCTCGTTCGATTGTGTTCAGTGAACTCATTCCCTTAATGAGCACCTACATACTTGTCTTAGTGTCACAACACGAATGGGATGAGACTTTCCATCCTTCCATTTGAAGCAGACACAGTATGTACCGGTCTAAGCATTGTCAGTATCCCTCCGACAATCCAATGACCAGGAACCTTTTTGGACATTTGGTTATGTGAAGAAGGTCTCTGTAGTCTAACATCATTAGATTACTTCTTCAATCGATCCATTGTCCATGGATACACTATTTAGGGCATATATCGTTTATTGAGATAGTCCTAATTAGTATCTTTGCCAATAGATGTATAAGATTCATCTATACATCGATTTATTTGTCCTGAAAGGTTTCTTCCAAAGATTGACTTTCAGGGCATATTTCCAACAGTGGTTAACAACGAAAATAGGCTAAATAAGGCTCAAAGGGGTTAAACCTACAAAACAAATGCATGGGATGAAGGCTTTTTGGCTCTAGTGGTAACTACTAAACAACTTCATCTTGTTATATGTTATGCACTCAATTTTAAGTTTTGAATGAAACGGGCATGAGTTCTAGTATTTGGAACTAAAGTGATAAAATGCATTCTAAGTAGCAACCAAGCAAAGAATAATGAGATCATGCAACGACTTTAGAAAACAAGAAATCACAAATTAATAACTCTCCAAATAAAGTTTAGGCTCAAGTCTCTCAGGGTTGTAGCGTTAGTTTGAGTTCCTTCCTTCAAGCATGTTACAAAAACTGATTTTTTTTTTCCTTTGCGATTACATGTGAATTCGTAAACGTTAACAACAACCAAGCATAAACCAAAGAGTATATCAAACTTCCACCCATGTTTGTAACTTTCTTTAATAGTCATGCAATTAAAACCAAATCCTCATCATTATGTTGGAAGGTACCCTAAGATACACACAAACAAAACAAAACAACTCTAAAAACGACTCTTTTTCGGTTTTTCAAAACTTTTTCGATTTTTTTCTTTCTTTTTCTGTTATATGACATAAAAACACTTCAAAACACAATAAAAACACTTAAAAACAGTGAGTAACAACTTTTAGAAGTGATAGGTGGTAAAAATCCGAAAATATGGCATGAAAAACAATCTGTTTACCCCCCCCACCTTCTGTGTTTCCTGACAGATTATGTGTAAATCTCTTTTTAGTCTTGTAGTTGGTTTCCTTCAATTAAGGAGTATGGCTGATATCTAGTGTTTGGTGTAATCTATTTCAATTAAGGAGTATAGCTGGTATCTAGGGTTTAGCTTAAGGACCGTTGGATGTAACTGGTTTTTCTTTTCTTTTCTTTTATATATGTGTATCCTTGTACATTCACATTATCAGTAATACAAGAAAACTTAAACCAAAACTTCAACAGCGTGGTTGTGCTCAGGTGGGAGGGGTTTTTTTCCTTTTTTTTTTTTCTTCAAGCTTTTAATTATACAAAAATAGAAATTGTTATTTTTTATTTAAATATATTTAATTCACATGTCAATATTTGTTTAGGTTTGAGAGACGTAGTTATATGTAACATCAACACATAACAGAATTTTTGACAAAACTGTGATGAGAAGACCACATTGATTTGCGACACTCATTTTTAAGGACTACATTGATTTTCAATTTCAAGATCGTCTTGATAAGGTGAGTCAATTTCAGGGGCCTGTCATAAAATTGTTTTTTAGTGTTTCATTTCGTTGACTTCCTTTCTTGGTTTGTATTACAAACTTTGTAATGCAGTTATTGACTTGAAGTATTAATTCAGTTGTAGGAGGATCACAAGGTTATTCTAAATGTATATGACCTAAGCCAAAGATTAGCTAGCAAATGTCAAAAGCTTTCTTTGGGACACCAATTAAAGTGGTAAATTTGTTTGTAAATTCATAATATTTTGTTAATTTCGTGGTGACGGCGTTGCAGTCAAATTTATAGTGGTTTTCTAAGTTTCATTTTTTTTTTCTAAAAAATATTTAATACTATTGATTTTACTTGGGTGCTTTTTCTGGGTGTTGCAAGAACACCAATGTGTGCATTTTTGGGTTTTCTAAGTTTCAATTTTTTTCTTTCTATATTTAGTCGTTGATGTTGCAAGTACACCAATGGATGCTTTTTTGGGTGCACTTTCATCTACACCTGCCACCAAGCTGGAATTAGTAGGAGGAGGAGGGATGAAGTTGGGATCCTCGCGGGCTCGTTAATGTTCTCAAAGGTTTTTGCCTTGCATGCTAAGGCCCAACACCCCTCGCGAGCTGAGTCCCTTATGAGTTTCATGTTTTATTTAAACTACATACTAATAAAACACGGTTTGTCAATCAAAATCTAATAAAATAACTACTATACTCTTTAATCTAAACTACATATTAATAAAACACTATTTGTCAACAAAAAAAACTAATAAAATTACTAGTATACCCTTTAATACAAAACTAAAAGAAGATATTAGAAAAAAAACAATGTGGGCATTGAAGTAATTTTGTACAAACAAGTTTTTACTTTTTCTTAAAAAAACCTCACAATTGTGTCACTTTATCAATACCCTCTAATCTCATTCTCTCTCTTTCCTAACTTACAAACCCTATTTTGTTAGGATGCTTGCAAACCTGTTAAAAACAAATAACTCATCTCATAAAAAACCTAGAAAGCAAATATTTAAAAAACAAAAAAAAAATATTTTTCGGCACACATAGGGCTGGGTTCGGTTTGAAACGGTTCGGTTTTTTGCCAAAACCGAAACCAAACCGAAATTTCGGTTCGGTTCAAAAAAATTTCGGTTTTTTTCGGTTCGATTTTTTTCGGTTTCGGTTTTTTTCGGTTTGGTTTCGGTCCGGTTCGGTTTTTTTCATTATTATTATTATTATTATTATTATTTTTTAATATCTGGATATTAGTAATCTAGCCCAAAAGAGGACCTGCCAAACTAGCCCAATAGATCCAACAAACAATACAGAGGCCCAAGCCATAAAATACAACAAAAGAAAACCTAGGGTTCTACTGCAGCATCCGCCGCCGAGCATCCCTACTAGCACAAACCCTCGCCATCAACCAATCGACGCCTCGCCGATTGTAACATCCGGCCACGAGCACCTGTCCGAACACAACCAAACAGACGAGATCCAAGGGTTTAATAAAGAGTATAGATCCAAAGACCAAAGATCTTTACCACATAAATTCAAGAACAACATCAGCCAATTTTTCTTCAAAAATTCACAAAGCATAGTCAACAAATAAATTCACATAGCATAGTCAACAAACCAAAGAAATAAAAACTTTTAATCAATACATAAAAAATAAAAACTACCATTTTCAGCACTCAAAGAATTAAACAAGAAACAGAAAAAAAAAGGAAGAAATTGAATACTTACTATTAAAGAAATCCAGAGGAACAAAGATGGATGTCTGGACCGTGCGACCTCCATATGAATCCCAGATTAAAAAACTATTTGGCTTGTATTTGAAAAGCAGAGATCGAAAGTTTATGGAGAAAGCAAGGAATATTAGACGAGGAGCAGAGAGATAAGAGGCATACGATTTGGAGAGGGAAAAAATGGGCATTGTCAAATAAATTCATCACAAACCCTATACCTCTTGTGGTAATCCTTTGAAAAGGTAAGTCCATGTTACAACCATGGACTTGGCAGGTTGGAGAGAGGAAGAGAGGAAGGAGAGTTGAAGGGAGGAAGAGAAGAATGAGGGAGAGATCAACTGAGGAAGCAGAGAGGAAGAGCAGCGGATGGGAGAGATAGAGAGAGAGTGTGTGTTTGAGAATGAAAAGGTGAAGGAGTGACGGCTGCTAGGGTTTGTAAGCTTTATAAATTTTATAAAACATTAAAGATTAGAATACCTATAAATATTATGCTGGTACAATTATAGCAATACAAAGCCTACTGTCAAGTTGGCTTGAAGGAGCTATCCCCAACCTAGACGGAAGGGGTTCGAATCTTCATTCCAGCAGGTTTTGAGTATTTTTATTTGATTTTCATATTTCGGTTCGGTTCGGTCCAGTCCGGTTTTCATATCTCAAAAACCGAAACCGAACCAACCAAATTCGGTTCGGTTCGGTTCATCAAATTCGGTTTGGTTTTTTTTTCGGTTCGGTTTTTTTCGGTCTCGGTTCGGTTCGGTTGTCGGTTTTTTTCGGTTTTCGGTTTTTCCAACCCACCCCTAGGCACACAAAGTGTGGCCTTTGCTAGTAAAAATAAAAAAACCAAACCGAAAAAACAGAAAAATAATCCAACCAAACTAAATCGAATAGAACAGTAATTTTAATTTGATTTTTTATTTTAAAAAAAAACCGAACCAGCCGAAAACGTCATCTGCCAATTGACAGACACCCTTTGACTCGGCATCATTAAATCCTCATAGAAATGGAGCGGAAACCTACGCTGTAGTACACACACGCAGCATTTTCAAGACTTGCGCGCAATTGCTTTCGTCGGCGTTCGCAACCACAACTGTCATCCCCCCTAAAACCCTAACTTCACCAAACCAATGTCGGAATGAAACAGTACAAAACCCTGCAGCTACTCTCTTGGCCTCAATTTTACACCTTTGCCACTGACACAGTGACACTCTCCTCTCTCTTGTCCCCCCCTCCATCAGTAATCTATTGAAAGGAAAGGAAGGGAAAGGAGAGGAGTTTTGTTTTGGTGAGATCGGAGGGAGTGATGGTGATGGCTGAGAATGAAGTTGGGGATGACCAGAGGGACCTCAACGTCAATGGCGGCGGGCCCAAGTCCCCATGGAGGACTCCGGTCTCCCTTGATGCTCCCGTCATGGCCGCCGAATCCTGGCCTGCTCTGGCCGATGCCCACAGGCCCAAGAGTCTGGATGCTGCTGCAAAGCCGCCAGCTGCGCAGCCGTCTGCCCCGCCCGCGCCTGCGCAGGTAATTCCAGTGAAGCTGTTTGGTGCTTGTTTGAAATGTGTAAAATTATAATGTACGGAACATGCATTGCGAACTCATCAATCTTTACTTTCCGAGAAGAAATTTGAATAATTAACGTATTAAACTATCAAACTGTTTTGGAAATCCTCAAAGTATGGAGGACCTCCAATTATTCCTGTGGAGCTTGCAGCCATAACTGATGCAGCTGTACTCCCATTGCTGCTTTCGCCCCAGCACCCATCGAAAGAATAGTATAATTTTGAATAAAGGAACTAGAGAGTATAATCTTGTTTAATAAGAAATAGAATTTCCTACGTGTATGTTTATCTAACCACCTGAACTGAATGAAGTCGAAAAGAAAAATGAAGAAATTGGGTCCCTAGGGAATTAATAGATTGCTGTTCTAAACCAACGTTTTACAAATGAATCCCAAATGCTTCTGTTCTTGATTTCGACTTTTGCAGTAGATATATGTTTTATCTAATCCTTTATCCTGTTGATAAAATTTGCAGTAATCAATATAACCATTATTGTGGAAATGTTGCCTTCAAGGTGATTATTGTTTAAGGAAAAGAAAAATGTTGGAGCGTCACCAATTTCATTTAAATATTTGTATGTATGTAATGTATGCAATATTGATTAATAATTATACATGTATATGTATTACAAACATACACATGTTTAAACCATGTATCTGAAATGGTCGCATTGTGGAATTCCCGCGAAAAAAGTTCTTCTAAATAGACTGCTGAATAAGAATTTTGCTTTGTCTTCAAACTGGCACATCATGCTTTAATCTCTCTCTCTCTCTCTCTCTCTCTCTCTCTCTCTCTCCAGCCACCCCTGGTTAATTTATTAGAATATATTCTTGTGCTATGTTAGGAATGCCTTGATCTCTTTTGACACTGGAATTATACACCAGTGAAGCATGTCTTGCTTCAGGGTTATTGTTTCCTATTTTGTTTTGGCATTAGATAGTTCTTCTCTCGTAAAGTGATTTTACAATTTGTCAAGGAACTGTAATAGAAGAATTGAACCTTTTGTTATTTTGGTCCTGTTGTTGACATGTCTAGAGAGACATAAAAATTAATTAATAGTATTTGGAGGGGGGTTTTTGGAATTTTTTATGCTAGGGCCTGTGACCTGTTCATCAAAATTGTTACCTTATTTTTTGAAAAAAGAAAGAGAAATTTTGTACATGCTAAAAGAAAGAGAAATTTCGTACATGCTACTTCTGTTCATCTAGTTGCTAACTGTATTTGCCTTTATATGTTCTGCTTTGTCATCCAGGGATTAGTCATGCAGAAGTTGAATGAGTCTGGAAACTCTAACGCTTCGCACAAGCATTCATCATCACATCACGAAAAAAGGTCCTAGGCGCAACCCAAATGCTGCACCTCTTTTTCCAGTACCCGTACCCTACCATCAACAATCGCTTCCTACTGTTTTTATACCATGGTACAACCCTACATTCCGGCTTCTGGGTATGCTTACCAGCCATACGCTGGACCCATTCCAAGTGTTGGGAATCATATGGTAAAATCTGGATTCGAGACCCCAGTGCAAAATTTTGTGCAACCAGTTCAACCTCAGCCACGAAGTAATCCGAATGCTTATGGTGTCAATTTTTCTACTAGAAGACCCAATATGCAAGAACCCGGTGGCCCTTGGAATCATACTTGGCATCAACAGCGAGCATTCAACCCCAGAGAGAACATTCCTGTGCAACAGGGTGTTGGACCTAGGCCTTTCTTAAGACCTCAGTGTTTTTGGTCCAGCCCCAGGGTTCATGGTTGGGCCAGGCATTCCTGGTAGTTCTATCATACCGGTGCTGAGCTGTCTTATTTTGGTTTCAGTTATAGTTTTTTTACTAGTTTTTAGTGCCCGCGGCAACGCGTGGGTTGTGAAAAGTTGTGTTACCAAAGGGGAATACCAATAATAGTAAAGACATTGGAAAATCATTATACATAAAAGGTTAAATTTGGAGACCATTAAGATAGATATTACAGTTATCCATTTGATTGTAGCAGTTATCACATTGTAAAATTAACTGTCAAGATTAACCATGATCCAAACGCTTATAATCCAATCTAGTAAGTCTGTCATTAACTATCTGTATAAACATTTTACCCTGAGGTTACAACAGCAAAGAAAACAACCAAAAGAATTAAAGAAATGAAAAACTATGTCGTCAGCTAAAAGAAAACACATTTTTAACTGCTATTAAACATGCTGCAAAATCCATCAAATTTTTTTTAGCTCCACCAATACTTTTCCAACTACACATAATTTATGTTCATACTTAGCTAAACACAACTGAATTAAGAGATACAAATTATGAACGAAGAATCTGTGCAAAATATGTAACAGTGCAAAAAGACAAACATCATCAACTGGAATAAAGAATCATACATAATTAACCTAGCAGATGAAACCACGCTCATTAGAAAAACGGATAAAAAACAGTTTCAACACATACTCCAATTGGTGCTCTGATTTTTTCCCAAAAATTATAAACAAATTTTAGGAAACATTAAATTTTTCTCAAAATCCAATCCCTTTTGTAATCTCCAGCCAAACACGACAGATAGATTTTCATCTCCTATTCAAACAGCTTATTGATCTATTAACTGCCTTATCACTTATGAATGATTACCATCACAAAAATGTTTACCTAATCCAATCTATTACATCCATTGCTCAACATTTGTATAAGCATATTAACCTAAGATCAAAACAACAAACTGAAGAACCAAAAAAATAAAACAAACGAAAACAGCGACATCACCTAAAACGAAATACACTTTAATGTCACATTCAAAGAACCTGTAAAATGTATTAATAATAACACACACTACACGTTGAGAGAAGTTAATCATTTTGTGTTTCAAAATGATTCAACAATGGGTAAGAAATCAAGACATTAATCAATCTCAGCACAAAATGCCAACACCGTTATTGGCTACATGAGATTAACTTGCACTCTGTTGTGGCAAAAAGAAGAGAACAATGGTCATGCATCACCGGCACAATCGAGTCCACAATCTGAAATTTTTGCAATCACCCATTAAAGTGTGTTTAACTATTAAAACAAATTCACTGTCAAATTTTTTTAATTTTCTGCAGGTTCATTTTTGGATAATCAAAATTTAACTTCATTTTCTTGCCTGTCAATCGATCTTTACATTTTTCAATCACTCAGTTTTTGTTTTTACATAACTTGGAAATAACACAAATTTCCTTCAAATTAAATCAAAGAAAACATGAAAGCATTAAACACAAACAAAATACAGCATAACACAATTCTTACACCACAGGAAAAACCAAAACTCATCTCTCCAAAACCCTTGAAGGGACGAAAGGAAAACACTCACCAATAACAAACACGGCTTGCAAACCTGCACACAAAAGCACCAAACAACTAAAAATTAGTTTGGGACGAAACCAAACAAAAAAAAAAAAGAAAAATTCCGGACTCAACCAGAACGAAGAACCATACCCAAAAACCCAAGATGGTAGCAAAACCCCCAAATTTCCAAAACACAGCTGCAAACAAGAAACCCATCCACAAAAATGAAAAACGGTAAGGAACAAAAAGAAATACCTAATATGAGAAAGGCAAACAACTAACCAGGAGAATCCACCCTTTACAGATAGAAAAACCTTCGAACCCAACCAAACAACCGAAAGAGCGCAAACCACCGGTAGTGTTTTTTCCCAACAAACTAACACCACGCTGCTAGACACAAAGAAGAAGCAGTGGCTGGCTTAAAACGAAAACCGGGAAAGATTCAAAAACGGAAGAAAGCGATGGGCAAGAGCGGGAGAAGGAGAGAAAACAACAATGAAAAATCTGAAGACGAAAGGGAGAAAAGAAGAAGAAAAGTAGGTAGACCAGCTGACTCCGATGACCAACACCTGTCCACCATTCTGAAAACAAAAGGGAGAAAAGAAGGAGAAAAGTAGGTGGACCAACTGACTTCGATGACCAACACCTGTCCAGAATGGGCAAAATAGGGTTTTTACTGTGCGAAAAACTAAAGAGAACACCAAAACAGAGAAAAAATGGAAGGGTAAAACGGTCGACACACTGGTCATCCACAGTGACCAGGGGGTTTGAGTTTTAGTATATATGATTTCTCTGCAATTTTCTATTTCTCCATTGGTATTTTGACTATTTCCAGTGTCAGCAATATATTTGAATTTTGCTTTTCTAAAAAAGGAGAAATCAGTATCTTGAATGAATTTCCTAACAATCGAGCGGTTGCTGCTTCTTTATTTTGCATTTATGAACAATATTTTTTATTGTATATATGCGTTGTTTAGGATTAGATTCTTTCCACAATGATTTATCTCAATTACACAGGACCTGCACCCATATGCTATCTTCCAGTTCCACCACTTTCCGCAATTAGGGGACCTCATCCTCCTAGCTTTGTGCCACATCCTTTAAATCCAGGGGCTCCATTACGCCCTCAAAAACACATACATGTTGTTGAGGGACAATATTATAAAGCAAATAGAGTATTATTTCAGGTAATTTGTTTAAGAAAGTCTTTTATCTTGCCAATCTCGGTGTTTGTTCACTGCTTGCAAGCTAGTGCATATATGTGTTTGCATTGTACTGTTGAGAAAGCTTTCCTTTTTAGCATAATTATATAAACTATGGTGGTATTCCTCTTCACTTGTAAGTGAGAGGTCTTAGGTTCGAATCTCGTAGATGGAGAATTCGATACCAAATTAGGTTGCCCATTGTGTGGCTTAGCCGAAATCCCCCCTCCCTTTATTGTAAAATATATCGTTGTTCTCAAAAGGAGAAATAGAAGCTAAAAAAGCTATTCATTTGTTGTTGACTGAGATGCTGTATTCGTTCAATCCTAAAGATGTAATATCAAAAGAAGTTTTCTTAGAAGAATTTTTACAATCTTGATAGATTTCTTATCTTTCCAATTTTTTTTATTATTCAAAGCTACAGAAGGAAACTTAGAAACCAAAATGTAATAGTTTGGAAGAATAGAACGGCTGATACGAAAAGATAACCTTAAAGATGATCATATCTTTCCAACGTGCCTTCGATATCAATGTATGTTATCCCAATGCTTTAATTAGAGAACCCATTATTGAGCATTTTGAACTTTATTGTACCGCATGGCATGACTGTTAAGTTTTAACGCATGGAAGGAAGTTTTGTCAATAATGAAATCACACATTCTCAACCCTCTCTACACAGAGTAGTGAAAATTCCAAAGGAAAGAATTTGATAGTTTATATTTCACAGGTCTTCTAAATTGGTGAAGCACTGAAGCATATAAGATACCTCAACTAATGGTATTTAATCCGGGTTTTAGGATATATGTTGATAAATTGAAATATAATCAAGCTGCACCTTCTTCTTTTTTGTTTTGCTTAGTTTGTTAGCCGCTGTATGTAAGGGTAAAATTATCACTAAATTTTAGATGACTTAATAAAGTTATCTTTGCAATAGGGCTATAACCGATTTTCACACACAATGACAGGGAGTATTCTCTTAAATAGTGGTATAGATGATACAAATATTTCTTTTATTATTAATTACCTCTTAATCTCTCTTTGGCAGTGATGAAAATCTAAAGAAAGACCGTTACTTAATTTCATTGATGGATGACCAAGGATGGGTCCCAATAACCACCATTGCTGACTTTAAAAGGGTATGTTTTGGTATCATAGTAGATATTGCAGAAGCTAAGGTAATACATGCTGATCCAGTTTTTCTTTTGGTCAGCTGTGTGATCTATTAGATTAGTTAATCTGTCTTCCTGTTTTGTAGCTGACAATAACGTGAATAAGCTATATTTTGATATTGTGTGTTATAGGTTAAGAAGGAGAGTTGGATATCTATAAACTAGCTAGAGCAAGGGAAAAGAAGACAATGGACCTAAACCAAGTGAGGTGCATCAAAGATGAGGATGGAAAGGTTCTTGCTACAGAGAACGCGGTCAAAGATAGATGGAGAGGTTATTTTCATAATCTTTTCAATGAAGGACATGAAAGGAGTACTTCTTTAGGGGAGTTCAGTAACTCAGAAGAGTGTAGAAACTACTCCTTTTATCGTCAAATCAGGAAGGAAGAAGTGGTTGTAGCTTTGAAGAAGATGAAGCATAGAAAAGCAATGGTCCTAGACGATATACCGATCGAAGTGTGGAAAGTCTTGGGAGAGAGAGAAAGGTATAACATGGCTCACTGACCTTTTCAATAGGATTTTGAAAACGAAGAAGATGCCAAATGAGTGGCGAAAGAGCACTTTGGTGCCTATCTACAAGAATAAGGGCAACGTACAAAATTGCATGAACTATAGGGGTATTAAGCTAATGAGTCATACAATGAAGCTCTGGGAGAGAGTCATTGAGCATAGATTGAGACAAGAGACACGGGTTTCGGACAACCAATTCAGGTTCATGCCAGGGCGCTCAACCATGGAGGCAATCTATCTCTTACGAAGATTGATGGAAAGATATAGAGATGGGAAAAAGGATTTACACATGGTCTTTATAGATTTGGAAAAAGCGTATGATAGGGTCCCAAGAGACATTCTTTGGAGGATTTTAGAGAAGAAACGAGTACGAGTAGCATATATCCAAGCTATAAAGGATATATATGAAGGAGCAAAGACTACCGTAAGAACTCATGAAGGACAAACCGAAACCTCCCCATAACTGTAGGATTACATTAAGGCTCATCCTTAAGTCCTTACCTTTTTGCGTTGGTAATGGATGAGTTAACATGACATATTCAAGATGATATTCCTTGGTGTATGCTTTTCGCAGATGATACAATGTTGATAGATGAAACTCAGGAAGGGGTAAATGTGAAGCTTAACCTTTGGAGAGAAGTGTTGGAATATAAAGGTCTTCGCCTAAGCCGATCAAAGACATAATATATGGAGTGCAAGTTCAGTGCAAATGGAGGCCAAAATGAGTTAAGGGTGAGGATTGGAGATCAGGAAATACCAAAGAGCGATCGTTTTCGCTACTTAGGATCTATCTTGCAAAAGAACGGAGAATTAGATGGAGATCTGAACCATAGAATACAAGTTGGATGGATGAAGTGGAAGAGTGCATCTAGCGTGTTGTGTGATCGCCGTATGCCACTGAAGCTCAAAGGAAAATTTTATAGGACGGCAATAAGGCCGGCGATGCTGTATGGCACAAAATGTTGGGCGGTGAAGCATCAACATGTACATAAAATGGGTGTAGCGGAGATGAGGATGCTTCGTTGGATGTGTGGGCACATAAGAAAGGATAAGATTAGGAATAAGGATATCCGAGGTAGAGTAGGAGTAGCCGAAATTGTAGGAAAGCTGAGAGAAAATCGGTTACGGTGGTTTGGACATGTGCAAAGAAGGCCTACTGACGTTTCGGTTAGAAGATGCGACTATGGGATATAGGTTCAGGGCCGAAGGGGTAGAGGAAGACCTAGGAAAACTTTGGAAGAGACTCTAAGAAAAGACTTAGAATACTTGGATCTAATGGAGGCCATGACACAGGATCGAGCACAATGGCGTTCTAAGATTCATATAGCCGACCCCACTCAGTGACTTGGATTTTTCAAGTCTCCAACCGAGAACTCTTCCTCACTCGGGAAATTAAGGGAACACTACCTCAACCTACATGCTCCACTCACAAAGCTTCAACATACGAAAAAATCAAGGAACTTAGTGAAGAAGGTTTTGATGTATTTAACACAATACGTTGGAATGAAGCAAAGCTTATTTATTGATATCTCCAATAAGTTACAAATATGTACATATACATGAGTCAAAATAAACAAATAAGAGGGAGACTTCATAAAGGTTGCTTAGGAGAAGTCTCAGCAGTCGGTAGAGCCCCAGAAAGAGAAGGCACCGGAGGGGGATCATTCGGAGCCTCAGTACTGGACAGAACCCTAGAAGGAGGAGGCATCAGAGGTTGATCATTTGGAGCTTCATTACGCGGTTCAGCCCTAGAAGACGAAGGCAATAAATGCCTTTGGAACAAACCCACAAACCGTTGATGATCAAGTAAAACCTGACCATCAGATTCCTTCATCTGGTCAAGCTTTCTCTTTATGTTTGTAGCATAGTCATGTGCGAGCCGGTGCAACTGTTTATTCTCATGCTTGAGCCTTCTAATCTCCAGTTTGAGACTCATCACTTCAGCCCCCAATGACTCAACTTGGCGGGTTCGAGCAAATAGGCGTTGGGCCATATTAGACACAGAACCAGCACACTGAACACTCAGAGCCAGAGAATCCTTAACTGCCAACTCATCAGACTGTTTGGAAAGTAGTCTGTTATCTTTAGGAGTGAGAAGGTTCCTGGCCACCACCGCAGCCGTCATATCATTTTTCATCACGGAATCCCCAACGGTAAGAGGACCAGTAGGGGATAAGAAGGATGGGCACCATATGTTGTCTGGAGAAGGCGTGGCTGCCTCTTCAACAAGGTTCAAGTTAAAACGACGGTTGGAGGGGCCAGACATATTCAAAGGTGTTGAAGAGAGAAGAGGTCAGACAAATCAAGATCTTAGAAGTGCAAGAATGAAGCTTCTACTAGTGGAGATCCAAGTGTGCTTTGGAACTTAATGCCAGCCTCTATAAAAATCTGCACTCGACGGAGCTTCAGAAATCGAAGAGGCGCCTGCCCAGAAATCGAAGAGGCGTTTGCTTTCTCAAAAGCTGGGCTGCTCAGAGACCACGAGGGCCGATCTCAGAAATCGAAGAGGCGTTTGCTTTCTCAAAAGCTGGACTGCTCAAAGATCACGAAGACCGATCTCAGAAATCGAAGAGGCGCTTGCTTTTTCAAAAGCTGGGCTGCTCAGAGACCACGAAGGCCGATCTCAGAAATCGAAGAGGCACCTGCTTTTTTCAGCCTTGTCAGCACCTATCACATGCACACTCAGCTTTGCTGAAATTACGGGCATTTTGTTGAAGATTTCTGGTGAAGTAGAAAGCACGTGAATCTTACTGTTCAATCATCCACTTTCCACACGCACCATCAGCTCATGGGTACCACACATAACTTTGCCAAAGATCTCTGACAAAGTTTAGACACGTGAAGCTTGCAGCTCCCACTACATCGCTATGACCAAGAAGGGTAAAAGAATAGCAAAGAAACAGCACTAACAAAGTTTTAACACATAAATTTTGAAGGTCTAGCTACCATATTATTACCCACAAGGGTAAAGGAACAGCACCACTGTTGGATAATTGGAAAGTCCCTGTGTGTCAACCTCTGTGCTCCATGGCAAGGTAGACTAGCAAACATGCCCAACCTTTACTCACATTCCAGAAAACACTCCCAACAAGATTGCTTGCTCCAAAATTGAAGAGGCACCGCCCTCCGAATCTAGAGAGCCAGACTCCCAACATGATTACTTTCTAAAAAATCGAAGAAACACCGCTCTCTGAATCTCGAGAGCCAGACTCCCAGCAGGATTGCTTTCTCAAAAATCGAAGAGGCACCGTTCTTCGAATCTCGAGAGCCAAATCCCCGACAGGATTGCTTGTTCAAAAATCGAAGAGGCACCGCTTTCTCAACTTCGAGAGCCAGATCTCTTTGGATAAAGCTTGTCTGTAATCTTCACACGCAACATCAGATTTCCAGATACCACAGACCACTTTTTCAAAGTACTCTAACACACGTGAAACTGGCAGCTCCCACTACTGTGCTATGACCAAGCAGGGTAAATGAATAGCATTACTACTTGTTGTTAGGGAGACTCCTATATATGTTGACCTCCATCTTCAACAGACAGGCAGACCTGCAAAAATGCTCAACTCTTCATCATATCTGAGAGGGCACTCCCAACGAAGCCTCTCGAAATACTCAGCTTTCTTCCCCCCGATAATACCTCTACTAACAAGCTACACCAGAGTAAGAATATCTCATATCATCGAGGTTAAAAGCAAGAGTATCCCATATCATGCTTTTTCCGTGTCTTTTCCTTTGGCCTTGTTCTTACCTGCAAGACAAGGAGAAAGAGAGCAATTAGTTAGCACTTGGAATCAAGCTTCCAGTCAGGAACTGACTGCCTGGAATCCCTTACCTGATTACTTACCTGGCATTGCTCTCGAGTACTCATCTTCAACATCTTATGCTTCCAGAGAAGATACCACATCTGCCTGAGGAACAGATAGGGAAAGTGAGAATGATACAAGGAAGCATGTGGTGACAAGCGTAACAGAACACGTGCCGATACATCCACTACTTTGTCAACAGCAAAAGTATCCCATATCAGCAGGGTCGAACGTACTCTAGATTTGATGGATTTGTTTTGACTCTCAAATTCTTCAGTCGGCCTTATACTCTGGAGGAAACCAGAAAACCTTCCAACCCAGTTCAAGAATAAGCCTGTGGAAAGTTACTTCTTCAAAAGTAAAAGTATCTCATATCATCCATTCTCTTTTTTCTTCTCTTTATCCTTCATGCTGCCTGCAAGATAGGGAGAATAAGAACAATCAGCCGGAACTCAAAATCAAACTTCTGATCTGGGACTGATTGCTTGGAGATCTGATTGCTTACCTTGTCTGTCACCTCTTTCAGCAGATCCCCTAGCTCGGCGACTTGGGGGACTCCTACTACAGGGTTTGTATCGCGCTTGACCAAGCTTGAAACTACAAGTAAGCTTCAAGTGAAATTGATACATTACCTTGTGCATCTCCACCAGTTAAAGATACTATCCCTGGATGGAAGAAGAGTACTTCCAGAGAAGATGCCACATCTACCTATGAGACAGATAAGGCAAGTGAAGACGATACCACACTTCGGTACTTAGAAGTTTCGTGATTACGAGATCATTCTCCCACAATATTTCCTAATGTCATTTGTACTAAATCATTCACTTGTACTCACTAAAGGAGAGCTTGAACCTATGTACTTGTGTAAACCCTTCACAATTAATGAGAACTCCTCTACTCCGTGGACATAGCCAATCTGGGTAAACCACGTACATCTTGTGTTTGTTTTCCTGTCTCTATCCATTTACAAACTTATCCACACTAATGACCGGAGCAATCTAGCGAAGATCACAATCGTAATACTTTCTGTTGTACCAAAGTCCTCACTGATTTTGTGCATCAATAATCCTTAAGTCCTTACCTTTTTGCGTTGGTAATGGATGAGTTAACCGAACATATTCAAGATGATATTCCTTGGTGTATGTTTTTCGCAAACGATATAGTGTTGATAGATGAAACTCGGGAGGGGTAAATGCGAAGCTTAACCTTTGGAGAGAAGTGTTGGAATCTAAAGGTCTTCGCCTAAGCCGATCAAAGATAGAATATATGGAGTGCAAGTTCAGTACAAATGGAGGCCAAAATGAGTTAGGGGTGAGGATCGGAGATCAGGAAATACCAAAGAGTGACCGTTTTCGCTACCTAGGATCTATCTTGCAAAAGAACAGAGAATTAGATGGAGATCTCAACCATAGAATACAAGCTGGATGGATGAAGTGGAAGAGTGCATTCGGCGTGTTATGTGACCGTCGTAGGCCACTAAAGCTCAAAGGAAAATTTTATAGGACGGCAATAAGGCCGGCGATGCTATATGGCACAGAATGTTGGGTGGTAAAGCATCAACACGTACACAAAATAGGTTTGGACATGTGCAAAGAAGGCCTACTGACGCTCCGGTTCGAAGATGTGACTACGGGATAGAGGTTCAGGGTCGAAGGGCTAGAGGAAGACCTAGGAAAACTTTGGAAGAGACCCTAAGAAAAGACTTAGAGTACTTGGATTTAATGGAGGACATGACACGAAACAGAGGGCAATGGCGTTCTAGGATTCATATAGCCGACCCCACTTAGTGGGAAAAGGCTTTGTTGTTGTTGTTGTTGTTGTTGTTGTTGTGTGTTATAGGTTAAGAAAATGTGTACAGACATAACATTCATCATTGACTCGCTGCTGGGTTCAACTACTGTAGAAGTGCAGGTTAATCTTCTTTCTTCTCTTTGGTATTTTAATATAGCATGTCCTAATATTTTTATGGAATGACAACCAAGTTTTGCGGTCTATTGTTTGCTAGCATGGAATCTCTCTTTGTCTCCTTTCTTTTTTCTCTAATTTATATTCTTGTAGTATCCAACTTTTTCTTCCCTTCTCTTCGTCCCTCTTCCAACCTTCAGTGGCATAGTTAATAAAACTTAAGTATATTCATAGTTAGTCTGATTTCTCTGACCTGCATAAATTGTTTAAGTTCTCTTCTCCTATGTTAACAGGCTAGATATAATGTCTTTGCTGAAAAATCTTCCTTTACTGGTTTTCAAATTCAACAACCCTTTAGGTTTGCTTATGTTTCACTTTGCTTGATTTCAGATTTTTGTTTTGTGTTTTCATTTGTGTGCTTATTATACTTATTGGTTCTCTTTTTCCTGTCTATGTTTATGCCTGTGAAGATGTGTAGGAAAGGAATGTCATTATATTCATAAGAAAATAATTGATATGATGTATTTAGATGCAAATTAGTATTAAGATTGGATCTTAAAATCTGGATTCTGAACAGATGGTCATTTGAAAGCATCGCCATCATTCATGTCTTGATACATTAACAATTTCATTTGATGGATATGTTATGTTTAGTAACCCCACAGTATATATAAAAGAATTATTACGGTTTTGTAACTGAAAAAAAAAGGATTGATGTGGAGTTTGAATTGGTATGTTATTTGTTATTACCTTTGTACTAATAATTTCTTATTGTAAATTTGTAAGTCTGCTTTTATTTCTTCCTAGTTTGTGCCTTTCTATTGTTTGAGATGCTGCATTTGACTTTGATTGGTCACTTGTGTTATCTGGCACAGCATTGTAAATTATTCAGAGAAATTGGGAAATATGTTGACAAGTTATGAATGTTTTTGAAATGCGTTGCATTTTTTTTTTTTTTTTTTTCTTGACATGCACTTGAGTTGTTTCGTCTATGTAGGCTAACAAGATACAAAGACGTGATGAGTGGTCGAAGTGGATTGCAGATTCTGTAGACTCAATGTTAACATCCAAGCTGCAAACTCACATGGTTTAAGTTGAAGATAGATATATCAATGCTCCTGAGAATAGTGCGAGCAATGATAGAATGAAAGCTTTCGAAGAAAAAGCAGAAGTTATATCAGATGGAAAAAAATTGATGTCGTGCATGCCATCAACCACCATACCTGGCATTGATGATGTTCAAGTTGATGGCGGATCACTAGCATCTGCTGATTATAATAGTGCTTTAAGTGCAAAGTTGACTTCCAAATCAAATTGCAAGTCCTCAGATCCCGAAATGGATAATTACTCAGACCGCCCATACCACTCAGAGGGAATTGAAACTGTAAGATATGCTGATGATGGGACTGAAGGCATGCCTTCAGATATGGATATGAAGAATCTTGCAATGTCTAACGATTTTGCAAACACATTTATGCTTGATGAAGAGCTAGAGCTTGAGCAGAAAATAATAAAGGATGATCGTTCTCCTATTAGAAGGTATTAAACTTTTTTTTTTTTTTTTTTTTTTTTGTGCATTTGATTGATGCACTTACAATGTCTTTCTAGTTTCCTTTATCTCTTGACTCTTTACAGTTTCAACAAACCAAAAACAACATCTCTATCTCTATTCAAACCCTTACTCCACCCTTTGGGCTATAGTGCAAAAAGTCACCTGTACCCATGAGAACTATAAGCACTATGGATTTGGGCCCCCAATAGATTTCGTGGGGTACTTAGTGATGAAGAAATAACCCAACATTGGTTAAATATGATTTGAGGTAATAGGAAATCTACCTGATTGAATGCAAATATCATCTTAATTGTTCCATACTTCCAAGTAGGTCTAAACTCATATTGTAAAGCCAGATTGAGAAAGGGGCACCAATCACCATGTTATTTTTTTCTTCCCAGTTTTGGGAAATGGGGTGTACTTGTGGTGAGATCAATGTTTTAAAAGTCTCGCCCCAGGGTGTGCCTAGGTGTCCTCTGAGGCTGGGCGTGAGGTTGTCGCCTTTGTTTTGAGGGAGTGGGCGGAAGGCGTCGCCGGAGCCATCTAGGCGCGCCTCAAGGGTTTTGTTTTTTTAAAATATATTTTTATTTTTACTCCCAAACCCAAATTTTGGGTAGTTTTTAACTGCCTCATACCTCTTGCACTATCGTTTCTCTGCCTTTTTTTTCTTCTGATTTTTATTTTTTTAATATAATGGATGTGTGTGTTGTCTGTGTGCATTGTTATATGTGTGCTCATTGTGCTTTTCATCCTCTATTACATATATATGTGTGTGTGTGTATTTATCATATATGTGTGTGCTCATGGTGATTATTAATTAATATTTTTTTTTTAATATAATATATGCGTACACTCATTGTATATATTAAAAAATTTAGGTCCTGTGAGGCTTCGCCTCACGCCTAGGCGGGACTATCCCTTGAGCGCCTCGCCCACACCTCACGCTTTTAATACGTTGGGTGAGATTCATTTTCACAGTAGGTGGCATTTTTTTAGTAGTGTTTTTATTGTATTTTGAAAAATTGTGTTGGAAGCCTTGTGATCTGTATTCACGTGGCTCTGTGCCAGTGCTCATATATTTCCCTTGCTTATTTCTTTCTTTCTTTGTTGGTGGACTAAAACTGGTCGTTGAACTTGAGCTTTCTCTTTAAATTGGAGGCTAAGAATTCAGGCTTATCCTGGCTAGGCATTCTTGCTTCAGTAGCGTTACAATACTATGTCATGCGGTTGAATATGCATGTGAGCTTACTACTTGTTGTATGTTTTCATATGACAGTGTTGGCCCAAGGATTGATGATGAAGATGATGAGATTCTAGTCAATGATCAGGACGTACAGAGACTTGTAATTGTCACCCAGGTATTGAAACTATGTTTTTAGCACGGAAAGGTCCTTTGATATTTTTATACTTTTCTTTGATTAGTTTTTGCAGTTAAATGAGACTTTAATTTCATGTCTGTAGCATTTTGATAAGTAGTCATTTCTTTGTTTTCTGTGCAGAATAGTAGAGTAGGTAAAGGATCAAAACATGATGATAAAGAATCAAAAACCATTTCCAATGAGCTAGCGTCTGCTATAAACGATGGGCTTTACTTCTATGAGCAGGTTGGGAATATTCCTATGGAGTTTGCTAATTACTATACTGCACTAACCTGGCTCCTAACATATATTCAATTAGCAGGAACTGAAAACCAAGCGACCGAAGCATAAAAAGTACAGCACCAGCCATGAAAATAAAGATGCAAACTCAAGATTTTCAAGCGTTTCCAAAGTCTTTTCAAAATTAAAGCCCAGCGAAATATCTGGCAGTAGTAATGGCATTGAAGAGTCTGGAAGTGTTAATTCACGGAAAAAGCAAAATAGACTCTCCCAAAATCAGCAGCCGTCCCATAGACAGCGATTCTTCTCAAGCAACTTCAAAAATTATGGAACTGGTTGGAACAATCTAGGAATCATATCAGAAAGTCCACCAAGTCACTCTGTTGGCTTTTTCTTTAGTTCCACGCCTCCTGAAACTCATGGGTTAGTTGAAATGGATGGAATTTGGTTTTGGATTTGTTTCTTCAGCAGAGCAATTCTTTGTAGTGATTTAGAAGTTTGTTGTTCTTGCTTTTGGGATGAGTAATTGTAATTAATAAAACTTAGAATCAAGGGCTAAGCTAAAGTGATGTCTAAGCATATTAGTCCATCGGTGGGTTCTGTGCCAAAGTCATTTCCACCGTTTCAGCACCCAAGTCATCAACTTCTGGAAGAAAATGGTTTTGAACAGCAGAAGTAAGTGTTTCCCCTCATGGGTTTCTCTCAGGCAGTAGTCCACCGGTGGGTTCTGTGCCAAAGTCATTTCCACCGTTTCAGCACCTAAGTCATTCGCTTCTGGAAGAAAATGGTTTTGAACAGCAGAAGTAAGGGATGTAATTTTGATGCTCTTGTGCATGTGTGATAGGTAGAGAGCGAGAGATAGAGATATATTGAAGTGTGTGTGTGTAGAGAGAGAGAGAGAGAGAGAGAGAGAGAGAGTAATTTTGTTTACTTACATGGCTGATCTCAACCATAGAATCTATCTTGCAAAAGAACGGAGAAGGCTGATCTCAACCAAAGAATCTATCTTGCAAAAAAACGAAGAATTAGATGGAGATCTCAACCATAGAATACAAGCTGGATGGATGAAGTGGAAGAGTGCATCCGGCGTGTTGTGTGACCTCCGTATACCACTGAAGCTCAAGGGAAAATTTTATAGGACGACAATAAGGCTGGCGATGCTGTATGGCACAGAATGTTGGGCAGTGAAGCATCAACACGTACATAAAATGGGTGTAGCGGAGATGAGGATGCTTCGTTAGATGTGTGGGCACACGAAAAATGATAAGATTAGGAATGAGGATATCCGAGGTAAAGTAGGAGTAGCCGAAATTGTAGGAAAATTGAGAGAAAATCGGTTACGGTTGTTTGGACATGTGCAAAGAAGGCCTACTGACGCTCTGGTTAGAAGATGCGACTACGGGACAGAGGTTCAGGGTCGAAGGGGTAGAGGAAGACCTAGGAAAACTTTGGAAGAGACTCTAAGAAAAGACTTAGAGTATTTGGATCTAACGGAAGACATGACACAGGACCGAGCACAATGACGTTCTAAGATTCATATAGCTGACCCCACTCAGTGAAGAAGGTTTTGGTGTATTTAACACAATACGTTGAAAAGAAGCAAAGCTTATTTATTGATATCTTCGATAAGTTACAAATATGTACATATACATGAGTCAAAATAAACAAACAAGAGGGAGCCTTCACAAAGGTTGCTTAGGAGAAGTCTCAGCAGTCGGTAGAGCCCCAGAAAGAGAAGGCACCGGAGGGGGATCATTCGGAGCCTCAATACTGGACAGAACCCTAGAAGGAGGAGGCATCAGAGGTTGATCATTTGGAGCTTCATTACGCGGTACAACCCTAGAAGACGAAGGCAATAAATGCCTTTAGAACAAACCCACAAATCGCTGATGATCAAGTAAAACCTGACCATCATATTCCTTCATCTGGTCAAGCTTCCTTTTCATGTTTGTAGCATAGTCATGTGCGAGCCGGTGCAACTGTTTATTCTCATGCTTGAGCCCTCTAATCTCCTGTTTGAGACTCATCACTTCAGCCACCAATGATTCAACTTGGCAGGTTCGAGCAAATAGGCGTTAGGCCATATTAGACACAGAACCTGCACACTGAACACTTAGAGCCAGAGAATCCTTAACAGCCAACTCATCAGACCGTTTGGAAAGTAGTCTGTTATCTTTGGGAGTGAGAAGGTTCCTGGCCACCACCGCAGAAGTCATATCATTTTTCATCACGGAATCCCCAACGGTAAGAGGACCAGTAGGGGATAAGAAGGATGGGCGCCATATGTTGTCTGGAGAAGGTGTGGCGGCCTCTTCAACAAGGTTCAAGTCAAAACGACGGTCGGAGGGGCCTGACATTTTCAAAGGTGTTGAAGAGAGAATAGGTCGGACAAATCAAGATCTTAGAAGTGCAAGAATGGAGCTTCTACTGGTGAAGATTCAAGTGTGTTTTGGAACTTAATGCCAGCCTCTATAAAAATCTGCACTCGACGGAGCTTCAGAAATCGAAGAGGGGCCTGCCCAGAAATCGAAAAGGAGTTTGCAGTCTCAAAAGCTGGGCTGCTCAGACACCACGAGGGCCGATCTTAGAAATCGAAGAGGCGTTTACTTTCTCAAAAGCTGGGCTGCTCAAAGACCACGAAGGCCGATCTCAGAAATCGAAGAGGCGCTTGCTTTCTCAAAAGTTGGGCTGCTCAGAGACCACGAGGGCCGATCTCAGAAATCGAAGAGGCGCTTGCTTTCTCAAAAGCTGGGCTGCTTAGAGATCACGAGGGCCGATCTTAGAAATCGAAAAGGCACCTACTTTTTTCAGCCTTGTCAGCACCTGTCACATGCACACTCAGCTTTGCTAAAATTACAAGCATTCTGTTGAAGATTTCTGGTGAAGTAGAAAACACGTGAATCTTACTGTTCAATCATCCACTTTCCACACGCACCATCAGCTCATGAGTACCACATATAACTTTGCCAAAGATCTCTGACAAAGTTTAGACACGTGAAGCTTGCAGCTCCCACTACATCGCTATGACCAAGAAGGGTAAAAGAATAGCAAAGAAACAGCACTAACAAAGTTTAGACACATAAATTTTGAAGGTCTAGCTTCCATATTATTACCCACAAGGGTAAAGGAACAACACCATTGCTGGATAATTGGAAAGTCCCTGTGTGTCAACCTCTGTGCTCCGTGGCAAGGTAGACTAGCAAACATGCCCAACCTTTACTCACATTCGAGAAAACACTCCCAACAACATTGCTTGCTCCAAAATCGAAGAGGCACCGTCCTCCGAATCTCGAGAGCCAGACTCCCAACATGATTACTTTCTCAAAAATTGAAGAGACACCGCTCTCCGAATCTCGAGAGCCAGACTCCCAGCAGGATTGCTCTCTCAAAAATCGAAGAGGCACCGTTCTATGAATCTCGAGAGCCAGATTCCTGACAGGATTGCTTGTTTGAAAACCGAAGAGGCACCGCTTTCTCAACTTCGAGAGCCAAATCTCCTTGGATAAAGCTTGTCTGTAATCTTCACACGCAATATCAGCTTTCCAGATACCACATACCACTTTTTCAAAGTGCTCTAACACACGTGAAGCTGGCAACTCCCACCACCGTGCTATGACTAAGCAGAGTAAAGGAATAGCATTACTACTTGTTGTTAGGGAAACTCCTATATATGTCGACCTCCATCCTCAACGGATAGGCTGCAAAAATGCTCAACCCTTCCTCATATCTGAGAGGGCACTCCCAACGAAGCCTCTCGAAATACTCAGCTTTCTTTCCCCCCGATAATACCTCTGCAAACATGCTACACCAAAGCAAGAATATCTTATATCATCAGGGTTAAAAGCAAGAGTATCCCATATCATGCTTTTTCCCTATCTTTTCCTTTGGCCTTGTTCTTACCTGCAAGACAAGGAGAAAGAGAGCAATCATTCAGCACTTGGAATCAAGCTTCTAGTCAGGAACTGACTGCCTGGAACCCTTACCTGATTACTTACCTGGCATTGCTCTCGAGTACTCATCTTCAACATCTTATGCTTCCAGAGAAGATACCACATCTGCCTGAGGAACAGATAGGGAAAGTGAGAAGGATACAAGGAAGCATGTGGAGACAAGCGTAACAGAACACGTGCCGATACATCCACTACTTTGTCAATAACAAAAGTATCCCATATCAGCAGGGTCGAACGTACTTTAGATTTGATGGACTTGTTTTGACTCTCAAATTCTTCAGTCGGCCTTATACTCTGGAGGAAACCAGAAAACCTTCCAACCCAGTTCAAGAATAAGCCTGTGGAAAGTTACTTCTTCAAAAGCAAAAGTATCTCATATCATCTATTCTCCTTTTCTTCTCTTTATCCTTCATGTTGCCTGCAAGATAGGGAGAATGAGAACAATCAGCCGGAACTCGAAATCAAACTTCTGATCTGGGACTGATTGCTTGGTGCTCTGATTGCTTACGTTGTCTGTCACCTCTTTCAGCAGATCCCCTAGCTCGGCGACTTGGGGGACTCCTACGACATGGTTTGTATCGCGCTTGACCAAGTCTGAAACTACAAGTAAGCTTTAAGTGAAATTGATACATTACCTTGTGCATCTCCACCAATTAAAGATACCACCCCTGGATGGATGAAGAGTACTTCCAGAGAAGATGCCACATCTACCTATGAGACAGATAAGGCAAGTGAAGACGAAAGCTTGAACCTATGTCATTTGTACTAAATCATTCACTTGTACTCACTAAAGGAGAGCTTGAACCTATGTACTTGTGTAAACCCTTCACAATTAATGAGAACTCCTCTACTTTGTGGACGTAGCCAATATGGGTGAACCACGTACATCTTATGTTTGCTTTCCTGTCTCTATCCATTTACATACTTATCCACACTAATGACCAGAGCAATCTAGCGAAGATCACAAACTTAATACTTTCTGTTGTACCAAAGTCCTCACTGATTTTGTGTATCAACAATCCTTAAGTCTTTATCTTTTTGCGTTGGTAATGGATGAGTTAACATTACATATTCAAGATGATATTCCTTGGTGTATGCTTTTCGCAAACGATATAGTGTTGATAGATGAAACTCAGGAGGGGTAAATGCGAAGCTTAACCTTTGGAGAGAAGTGTTGGAATCTAAAGGTCTTCGCCTAAGCCGATCAAAGACAGAATATATAGAGTGCAAGTTCAGTACAAATGGAGGCCAAAATGAGTTAGGGGTGAGGATCGGAGATCAGGAAATACCAAAGAGCGACCGTTTTTGCTACCTAGGATCTATCTTGCAAAAGAACGGAGAATTAGATGGAGATCTCAACCATAGAATACAAGATGGATGAATGAAGTGGAAGAGTGCATCCGGCGTGTTATGTGACCGTCGTAGGCCACTAAAGCTCAAGGGAAAATTTTATAGGACGACAATAAGGCCGGCGATGCTGTATGGCACAGAATGTTGGGCGGTGAAGCATCAACACATACACAAAATGGGTTTGCACATGTGCAAAGAAGGTCTACTGACGCTCCGGTTCGAAGATGTGACTACGGGATAGAGGTTTAAG